AGTGTGTAAGGTGATTTTTGTCCGCAAAAAGTGTGTAACAGGATTTTGGTCCTTTGTTCAGGAGGTAACTTATGTATTTTGCCTTTAGATAAAAATGTAGTACTATCTACTTCAAAGAATATGTGGTGGCCCTGCCAAAAAAGAAAATGTAGTACTATCTTTTAATCAAGTAATGTTACAACATTTCTATTTCTTTGCAAATCAGAAGGATTTTGAGGACATAATAAGCAAATAGGTAATGCTGCGGTGAAGAAATGACGTCCACTTAAAGAAACATGTATCAAAGGCCCTAACCAAGATTTGAAGGTCTTGAGATCAAATTTGTTTCTAACCCCAGGCTTACCATCTCTAACCTAGAAAAGAAAGGTGTAATCTCGTGCCACCTAAGTATAAACATGTTTCAAACTGCTTGTCATTCTCAAGCTTTTTGTCAATATAAATTATGCTTCTCTGCGTAATCATGGTGAAGAAATTTGGACATCATCCTATACCATTTAATTTCATTAATAACTCTAATAAAGTGGGAAACGCGAGCTTGTTGAATATTGAACGTCAAAAATGTTTCAAACATGAATTTAATATTACCTGTTGACAAGCTCGAAACCCTTCTTAAGCAACTCAGGCTTGATTACCTGCGCCAGACAAATTTGTTGAACGGTCTCTGCAGGTGAAGAAGAAATTCTAAAACAAAAATGTTTACTACCTGAGGTGTCTGCATTTCCCAAAGAGTTTTCCTGTCAAGAGTTTTGACAACGAAAGACTCACTGTTTGCCTGCACCAGAGTTGAAACAAAATTAGTAGATCCATCAGAACCAAGTTCAATAGAGAGAATATAAGAGGAAGACCTTATGTGCAATGTCAATGCACTCAAACGAGATGCTTTATCAATATTCCTGTCAGCAGTTTTACGTTGATGCCAGTCAAATCAAATACGGGCAGGACTTACAGTTAAGTTTCCTAGCAGATACCAAATTTAAGTTCATCTGACTGTCATATATAAAGCGTGGATAACAAGGGTCATGGTCTTATAGAATGTGTCTTACTTTTCATATCATATCACTGAATAAACAAACACTTGATCTCTCCCCAAAAGTTTAGTAGAACTGTTACACCTAAGTTAAGTTTTTTTAACAAGAGAAATTAAGGGAGAAATAATATTATACGGCAACTTCAGCACAGCCTAAAGTACTTCTTTTTAAACAAATATCAAATAGAAATAACCATACGGTGATAATAGTGATAACGAATACTAGTCAATGATAAAAATGAAAAAGATTTTGACCAAATTGAGACTTAGCACCATGCTATAACTTAGAAGCACTTGAAACATTTTAAGGAGATTATGCAAATTAATATAGAAGAAAAAGAACACAGGTAATGTGTCATCCTATTAGTTCCACAGCAAAAAGGCTAGAGCAATTAGTCTCTAACTGCAGCTATCAGCTTGAATATCTGCTAACAGAGAAAGCTACATAAAACTCAGAACATGCTTCAATTTTCTACCATTTCGTTCTCTCACATGAGATGGTCGGCCACCTGCAGCTTCATATTTTAATATAAATCAGATATAGTAAGGATACTGATAATAATTAAAAGGTACTTCTTTGATTGTTGCTTTAGCAGGTACGCCAAGAACTGCTGCTCCAACCAGCCAACCATCCTTCAGGACCTGCAAAGAAGATTCTTTGAAATAAGTAAAGGAAGGTTAGTCCTTCAGAATCTTACACATACATATGACCTATATAAAATTCAACGATCAGCAAATTATATGATGAAGAATTAAAGATAAAGAAGATGGATATCTGCAGAATTCATATTATCGACTGGAGTACTTCCCACGATACCAGAAAGCTCTTATGAAAGCCAAAAGAAAATATAAAGGAAGAGGAGGAGCTCATGCAGTGATCAAACCTTTTCTACATCTTCAGTCCATACTAGAGGTCTTGCAGAGTCATGGATGCATACAAGTTTGGAGTTTGAATCAACTTCCTGACATGCAAAGCATCAGCATCTTCTAAAAATTACAATCACTACTGAGAAATACCATGGCAATACTGCACAGCATACTGACGATATAATTTTAACAATGTGGAACAACTGAACAAGATAAGATGAAGATATTTCACATTCAGCTTTAGTGAATGCAAAAGCTTTTCACCAGAAATTTAACTGAACCAACATGACCCAAGACCAGATATTGACATCCAAACCACCAAAGAAAGATGAAATGTAATGGAAAAGGTAACTTTTATGTAAGCTTTTAGACACTTGTTGTTCTCTCCTAAAAAATCAATTATTTCAATAGCATTTGGAATGAGATCAACAGAAAACTCCTATGTTTTTTTGTTGAGAAAGTAAATGTTTTTGTAAAATGTAGCAGACTGGATTCTAATTCGCGTCCTTGAGCAAAAAATAACTCTTCACCACTGGCACCAAACACTCTGATTCAGATAATTCCTATTCGGATTAGAAAAATGATAAAAGAATCTTAAGGCCAAAAATGGAGCAGCAAGGACTGATTACTTAAGAGCCCAACTTTTTTAGCACCTCAGAGGAGACCAAATGAAACAGAAACTACTAGATAACTAGCTAATAACTTTTGCTACATGAACTATTCTGTACGAAATCAGCTGTAGAAGCCAAGTTACAGGACACTAGTTCAATACTCCCTCCCAGAAGTTGATCTACTAAGTATAACCAACCATGCAAATTACGACTGAATATTTGGCTAACTACATATTCTGGAAAATAGAGGCTGAAAAAGGGCCTTTGGTAAAAGGTAGAAAAATTAAGTTATCAAACATGAGCAACTTTGCTTTTGAAAGTTGGAAGTATGAGACTTAGTACCATCTGAGATAGCATATGACACGTACCTGAAGTCCGCTGTATACAGAATCTTGTCTTTCCTTCCCAGGTAATGCAAATTTTAAGTCGACTTGGATATTCTCTTTGGCATCTATAAAATAAATGAAGAATTCTTATACAATCATCTTAGTGTCTGCAAAAATGCCTATAGGTATTGCAATCTGAATAAGAAAGTTATGTGCATGTTCATTGCTTTCTTTGACAATTTTCTCTTGGCTACACACCCACACTAGATATTTGAAGTTCATACCTTCAAAAATGTCTTGATATGAAGGATCACATACGACAATGATTTCTTTCACCTGAGGCATCCTGGAGAAAGTGAAGAAACTGCAACATTCCAATAATATTGTCACCCACAAAGGCAAACATGTGATTGAACTGGTTGCGTATATACAGAAATATTCTCTCCAAACTGTGGTCTCAATACTGTTAAATTCTCTCCACCACCTCTCTTCATATTTACCACTCATGACTTGCACCATTTCACACACAGGTTATGTAAAACTCAAACTAGCCCGTGAAGCGAAGAGGTCCTGCCTATTACTACCAATTTTGTGGTGTCACTAGCTAGACCAGGCTGCTATATTTGTTACAACTTACAAGCAATACATATACATCCATTGCCAATGTGAATATGGACAAACGTTAGGCTTTCCCACCACACCATAAATTTCAGAAATCTCTAGGTTATATCTAGCACTGTGAAATTAGTTTGGCAGGTCTATAATAATTGAATGAAGTTGACCAGTTTTGGTTTACCTGTACAACGCAATTGGTTGGCCTAGAAGTGGT